CGCCCCTGATCAGTCAAGAGCTGTTCTGGCGCCCCCTTATCAAGAACATACCCCTGAACCAACGCCTCAGTGATGGACGAGGCCGATTGGTCCACCAGAGGCCACGCCATAGGCCAACGCGTGAGGTACTCCACCCCCACCAAGAGGTACCTGTGGCCCCGTTGGGATGCAGGGAATGGTCCCAAAATGTCGAGTGCCACCAGCTCATTCACACGAGAAACCCGGATGGACTGCAGCGGGGCCCGATCCTAACCCACTGGGGCCTTCCTCCGCGCACAGTCGTGGCAACCTTTCAAAATAAGGGCCACATTATCCTCCACACCCGGCCAATAGTAATCCCGTTTAAGGGTTAACAAGGTCTTATGGTAGCCGAGGTGCATAAGTTTCTCGTGAATGGCCCTGGTCAACTTACCTCGCAAGCCAATGGGCACCACCACACAATAGCGTTCCAACTGGGCATCCCAACGCACAAGGAGGCCGTCATGTATGGCGATCACCGGGGCAGCTGACGTAGCGGAGCTCCGGGCATTTGAGTCCACACGGCGTCGCAGCCTCAGCAGAGAGGAATCCTCCATCTGCAACTTGGACCATACCTCCCGGGGGAGTCCCAGGCCGAAATCAACAGGCAATGCCACACCCGGATGGGTGTGCCGCTTCGGCCGATGCGACCAACTGAGCCATGGCGTCCAATGGGGCTTTACAGCGTGCTCGTACCGGCGGCACCGGCCGACGCCCCGGCGCCCATGGGCACGGCCATGACAGCCGACATGGCGGCCTGTTTCGGCGTCGCTCCCAAAATGGCGCCCAACTCCTGTGTCGCGCCCGCCGATGAGCTGGCGCGAACTCCGGATTGGCTGGCGTGGGACCCCGTGGCCGGCATGGGTGCGCGACTCCTCACCTCGGCCATGGTGATGACGAGCTGGCCCAGCGTGTGCTAGAGCAGCTCCAGCTGCCCCGCGATGGCCCGCCACGCGTCCGGCGGCGGCGCGGAAGCTCCTGCTGTCCAGCTTCGGCCGAGCTGGCTCCACGGGGTGATGTTCCGGGCCCCCGGCCCCCGGGTTCGTCGCGAGGCCCTCCCCAACGTCCTCCTCCTCGTGAAATTGCGCCGCCGACGTGAGTCTCCGTCTCTTGCCGGGTCGTGACATAGCGGCGAGGGACGAAGCCACAGCTGACACCAGTTGTTGCGGTGCAATTTATGACTCTGAGGCAGGTTGCTGTTAGGGGCTCACGCCGCGTTTATTTAGGGGCTTACGCCAAGTTGTTCAGGGCTTACGGTAGATGGACAAGGCTTACGCCGATCCAGCACACCCTTAGCCATTAACTCCCCTAGGGGACAGGGTACTAGGATTCCTACACCCCAGCTAGCTCGCCTCTCCACCCTGCCCCGGCCCGGGACCACCCCCAACCTCGGCCGGTCGGGCGGAGTAGGCTCCCCTAGCCTCGTGTGAGGATCAACTCCTCGAGTCCCCACTCCTACCCCCGACGACCTCTGGTTCTATCCCGGGTCCCCCTTTAAAATCCCCCGTGGGGCATGACATCATCGTCCTCCACGGCCCGCCTGACGTCACATCCCGCGACGCAACTCTCTCCGAGGGCGCGCGTGACGTGAGGTCACCCACTACACCTCTATACAGGTAACAAGCTGAGATTAGGAGCACTCCCTTTAAGAGTGTGCTCCTAATCTCAGCTCATTACCTGTAGTATAAAAGACACCTGGGAGCCAGTAATCTTTCTGATTGAGGGGGGGTCAAATACGTATTTCCCTCATTAAAATGCAAATCAATTTATAACATTTTTGACATGCATTTTCTGAAAATGTTTTGTTGTTATTCTGTCTCTCACTGTTCAAATAAACCTACCATTAAAATTATAGACTGATCATTTCTTTGTCAGTGGGCAGACGTACAAAATTCACAGGGGATCAAATGCTTTTTTCCCCTCACTGTATGTGTAGTATCGGTGTGTAGCACAAGTCGGAGACAAGGTAGTTGCAGTAGGCACCTTTTATTCGTTACACCATGCCGGCCGCTCACACACACCAGATCGCTTCCTTTCTCAACCACGAAAGGCAACTGCTGTCCAGCCGCGCAATATTCAGGTCAAGGCGGCAACGACGAAGGCGGGGAAGATGACAGCGACGACGAGACGAGTCCACTCCCAGAACCGGCAGCACGGAGCTCTCATTCTCCGCTGCTTTTATTCTACTCGGCGCGGCTTGGCTCCACCCTGGCCACGCCTCTCTTCTCGAACCCACTAGCAGGTTCCAGGGGCCTCCCGATGAGGTCTTCCATGACCCTTGCCCCAGTTCTTCCGCCCTGCCAGCACACACAGCCGTGTATATGCTCGATGGCGTGTGCGCTAACTGTCCACCGCAGTTGCCGCTGCTGGACAGCAGTCGGCGCTGTGTCACTACATATGTACTGGTCCCTCCAAACATCCACCGCCTCCATCCCTGTACCCCACCCACTTCTTTGACAAACCCATACTGACCAGCGTGGTGAAGTAGGTTCAAACCACCCCCATGACCAAAATACTAGGGGAGAGAGGTCATTAAGGCAGTGGATTTAATGATTATTAATTTTAAAAGTTATAAGTTGCATATGTCATGACTGTATAAAAAACAACGAAACAGTGTCTTTTTATAACAACGTTGCAATAATCCCACCTTAAGACATTTAAAGAGATGTGCAATGACCCCCCGCTTTGTTCTCACTGGCACGAATAACACAGAGATGGCACAAAACTCCCACTTTAACGTTCTGCCCCTCTCCCCTGACTGTGGCGGCATTTTGCCAAAGGTCTGGGTCACGCGCCGTTCCAGCGGTTAGAACAAATCTTCGGACCACCCGGGAGACTTATGTTATTGCTGATTTGGGTACTTGCGAGAGTGGCTTGGAACTTAGTTTTTTTGGGGGGGAGGGGGAGGGTTGGATCCTGTCTGTAGGATTCTGCAATGGCCTGTTATTTGCGTTGAGCTCATTGGGGGGGTAATCTGAAAACAGAGCGAGAGCCACATCATGACGCGGTTAGTTCGGCAGACAAAGCGCGAGGTTGCAGAAGTTCACTTCAATCACAAACTTGCAATTTACACTTAGACTCTGGTCACACCAGGCAAGGGTAATTAGTAATTACGGCTAAGGAGAAAAAAAGAACTCGCTCTAAAAAAAAACCCCCAGTGCAATTTGAGTTAAAGCGTTATCATTGTGTTTGGTAAGTCTAGTAGATGCTGGAACCGAACTAAACTCTGGTTTTGAAAATAATTTGTTAATTGTGAGAGTTTAATATCCGTGGTTCAAAACTTAAATTCTAGTAATTGCACACTCTAACTGTATTTCGAAATAAAAATGCTCAGTAATTTTGACGATTTATTGCAATCTCCCAGAAATATTACGCCTGTCTTTCATTCCATCCAGGGACACTCTGGGACCCGCCGCCGAGGTCTCGACTGCTGGGGCTGCCCGAGAACCCTCCCCGCGGTCGTCCGCTTCGTCCGAGGATGTGTCGATGACAGCCTTCCTCACCGTGAACTTTGACAGTCTATATCCCCCTCAAGGATTCTAAAGGGAAAAAAAGATGATTCTTAACAACCCTACAATATATGTAAAAAAAAAAATCGTTAACACTCCTGACACCAAATGTAGTGTGCTAATTCACAGACACTGTAAGAGGTACTCTCTCTCTTTTATTCCGGCCTTCACGGCCTTAGGGCATAACCACACACCAGGTCGGTACAGCCAAGCTCCTACCCGACCCACAGCTGGAAGAGGGTGAAGATCACAATGACGACGACACGACGAGTTCCGCTCCGGATCGCAGCAGCCCCGACTGAGTCGGAGCTCGCCTTATAACCTGAACAGTGTGGACAGGCTCCGCCCTCGGCCCCGTACCCCTCTGGATCCCCCAGAGGGCTCCGTGCCTTTCCCACAGGTGCAACTGGTACAACAGGCTGTTACCCCTAATTTTATTGTCAACAAATCTCCCAGCGGCACGTGCTACAGTGACTAATTGCACGTCACTACACATGCAACATTGAACCAACATTGAACCAACATTGGCATGTGGCTATGGTTGCTCAAGTTTACTGGGCAGTGGCTTTCCACACTCAACATCACTAGCCGTGATCTATCCACTGCTGCATGAAGGTCTTTTCAAACTGTAGACATCTTTTGTGGTCTCCCGCACCTCCGATTAGCACGGTTGTCTGTGTACGGTGTGAAATAAGTATAGCTACAATAAACATAGCTATAATATAATAATTGATTGCTCCATCTCTGTAGCAAAAAACGGAGACAAAGGATGGCACATCTTCAGCAATACAGTGAAAGCTTGGAAGAAGCTCACATCAGCGACCTGCAAGGGAAGAGGTGTCGACACAAAAGTAACAAAGGCTACACAACCCTGTACCAGGGAGTTCACTTGCAATACCTGTGCATGTACCTGCACGTCCAGAGATTAAACTGTTCTCCTACTCGCGCATCCATCGCTCACCGACCCTTCGACCCTTTGTTGTTGACTCTCTGTTGCTGAACGTTTTCGTCGTGTTGGCGTGAGACTCCATATTCCCTATGTGACTCAATGACTGAAAAAGGTTTTTGCTCTAAACTTCCCCTTTACTTTTCCTTTCAGGGCAGTGCGATTGACGAATGTGCAGAGTTTGTTATTTGTGCACCACTGCCAATGCAGTCTCACAAGTTTTGTTTGTACAAATAAGGTGTATGATTACATTTAATGCAGATGTAACTCTGCACCTGGTAATGTAATGAACGTGTGAGGACAGTCACAGTAGACACAGGTATAGATAAGGTTTTGATGTTCAGTGCAACTTTGCGCAGCCATTATTATCATTTCCATAAAATTACGATCTGTGTTTTGGCGGTAACCAACGTACTGTGTGTGCATTCACCTGACTTCTGTATTGGAAAAAACATCGTGAATTTTAATTGCATTAACAATACAACAATTTTGAAAATAAAAAGGTTAAGATTCACCGAAATGCTTAATTTGGGGTAAATTTGTTTATTTCTTTCACAAAAATAGAAGCACAATTTGGAAAGAGCCATAACACATTTTTTTAAAAGTGACTTCCAGTTATCATCATGGTGGATAAGTGATAGAGCCCGAATTTGTTTGCAAAATAAGTCTATACTATGTACAGTAGATCTTTATCAAGTTGTTAATATTTCCAGCAAATTTCCAGAAAATCCCTCCGAGAACACCTTGCTTAAAAACGCTATTGATCAATGTTTGCCAAAGCATTACAGGACTATACACCTCTTCCTGACATTCGCTGCACACTTTTCAGCCTCTGTTCCCATCACCTTTATGAATTTCCAAGTTATAATCCGATGTCATGGCAGGTAATAATGTACATGAATTATAAACTATACTCTTCAAACACACTGGTATGTTGCTTTCACCACTAAAAAATCGTATTTTAATATCCTCCCCCACCACTCTCCCACCAATATGATTTATTGCCTTTAATTTGACCTTTTTTTCACTGCCACATCCGAGCCGAGCCAGTGTGGGGGGGGGGGGGGCTCGGAGTACAGGTGGTTTTCCATCAGCTATTTGCCGTGCCTAGCCATAACCAAAATCGAGATACCTCACATCTGGATCTGGATTGCGGCCAGATCCAGATGTGATGTCAGTCAACACACCGTGAAGTCAGCACACCGGTGCCACGGTGACGACATGTTTACTTCCTCGCCCGATGTACTAGCGGTCGTGGGTTCAGTCCCGACCCTGACACATGTATATTTGGAGTTTGTATGTTCTCCCCGTGCTCGTGTAGATTTTTCTCCGGATCCTCTGGTTTTTGTCTCCACATTGAGACATATGCATTCTAGAGTATTTGGCTGCTGGAAATATCCACGTGATAAGCCACTTTGTTGGGCTATCATTTGCTGCCAGGTCGATTCTGACAAATAGCTATATAGTTTAGTGGGCCTTACCTGGTGAAATAAAAATAGTTTAGTTCATATTCTCTGGGTTAAAAATGATTTTTTTCTCCATCTGATGTGTTGCGATCGAAACGTCGTAGTTTTTTGTAAAAAAAAATACCTATCTACGCGACTTTACCGAAAGACCAAAAGAATATGAATTCCTGCAGTCACGAAAACTTTAAGTCAAGATTTAGTTTAGTTTTAGTTTAGCGTCACCGTGTCATCTAGACGGCTCGGGCTCTGCAGTTGATAAACCACCCGGTGTCTCCTGAGCGGTGCAAGGCTGGCTCAGGAGAACCCCAACGCGGCTCAGGTTTGGTGAGTGGAAAAGAGGACGACATCGCCCCCCGGGAATCACTGCTGCAGCACGACGTAGTTCGCCGGGAACATCCCGACTTGACCGTTGCACTCGCCACGCCACCAGCCCTCGTCCAGACACTCGATGTTGGTGATGATGTCGTCCGGGTCGAAAGAAATCTCATCGTCGCCGGCTTTGTAAGAAAGACAGAATTAGTAGGGTATAAAAAGTGTATTCATTAATAATAATGATGATGATACTTGCTAATCAGGGTGAGCCTCGCTGAGGTTCAAGGCTTATTTTCGGGAGGGAACTTACACATTGGTACGATGGGGCCAATTCATTCTAAGCTGTATTTTGCATGTGGGAGAAAAACGGAGTAGCCAGAAATAACTCAAGCAAATAAGGAGATAGCACTCAATGATGTGCATAAAATTGGTTCGTGACCCAATTTGCTGCATTGGCATCTCTTAACGACTTTGCACGAGCAAACACTTCAAGGCGCGGCAAAGAAAACGTGGGAAAAGCCGGCCAACTGACGTTTTTCTAGTGCAGGGACATCTTGCAGTGCTACTTTCATCGACCACTTCGCATCACAGTAGGCTTTAAGAGTTTTACACATTTACACAATCGATCCACCCCTCACTTCTATTGTGCTGGATGACATGCCCAGCTCGTTGGCAAGCGAGGTTAATAATAATAAATACAATTTCTTAAGTGCATATATGCATGTAATTTATTCTCCAATAAAATTCTGAATTTGAACTGAAAAAAGAACTGGAAAAGTATAGCAAAAGCGCAATTCTTGCGTGTCTCTCACCTGCTTGGTAGTCATAGAGGGCAACAGCTGTCGCACCTGCGGAGGACGAGGGGAAAGTCTCATTTTGTATTCTGGCAAAACAACCAGAAGAGCCTGCCGCACAATTGGTGTGAAGAGGCAATGTGCAGCATGCCGCACGGACACGGAACACAGATTCCAAGTGCAACTTTCTGTAATTCCGTAACACACGCACTTCACATGACAACAACAAAAGAATCAACACTTTCGTAAATAAAACACTGTGGCCTTAAGAAGGATTTTTTTAAAAATAGGTGACGTCTCGGGCAATGGTGACTTCATTGTAGCACACGAGGGGAGGTATACACTTCTACAATGTGATATGAATTGTACTGTAGTGGATTAACGCGCGCCAAAGGGGGAAATTGTAAACACGTGTGGGTTATGGACAGTGGGGTAGCATCAGGACAAGCAGGTGTTGCTGGGGGATACCGGCCGGAGAGAAACGACTTGTTAGGTGATTATGGGATGCAGGGCAGTGATTGGCCGGTTGTTGTTGTCAGGGACAAAGTGGCGCCAGCAAGTCTGGGGATGGGAACAGGTGGCGGCAGGGGCCGCGGGCACAGGGCGTCGGTGGGGACGCCGGTTAATTATTTGGAAATTAATGAGGACGGGGATAAATACGGGAGCGTGAGAGTGAGATAGGGAGTTGTGCTGGGAGCTGGACATAGACAGTCGGAGCAGAAGAAGAAGAATTAGTTAGCAGTAGAGACGGAGAAGAAGAGGATATGGGAGATAGAATAGGTTATTAGTGCAGACGGAGAAGAAGAAGATATGAGAGATAGAATAGGGTAGCAGTGGAGATGGAGAAGAAGAAGAGATGAGAGATAGGATAGGCTAGCAGTGGAACGGGAACAGAGAAGACACGAGAGATGGAGACGAGAGGGAGAGACAGTCGGAGTTAGACGGAGAAGCCGAGAGAGAGCGAGACAGTCGAAGCCGAGACAGGCGAAGCAGAGAGGAGAGTCAGAGAGAGAGAGACGGAGAGAGAGAGGGAGGGAACGGAGTGAGCAAGGCCAGCAGAGCGTGGCGAGCGAGCAGAGAACGTGCTGAAGTCTTGGTGGTGGAATGTGCCGAGTTTGTAAAATAAAGTGACGACGGAAAAAAAATCAGTTGTCCGCGTAAAGTTCAGCACTACATTTGGTGTCGGAAGTGACTGCCAAACCATGCCGACATGTCGAAGAAATCGGCTAAATGAAGAAACGTGCCGGCGGACTCGTCGGACGACAGCAGCGATGCGGATGTAGTGCCCCCATCGGGGCAAGAGGTTGCCGCTCCCCCGGCGGACCTGGACGATCGGGTGCCTCCGGGGCAGGAGGGCCAACCAGTCGACGCATAGACCCCAAGCCCGGCTCAAGAATGGAGGGCCATCATGGCACAGTGGAAGGCCAAGCTGGCAATGCTCACGGCGGTGTTTGACCACTTCACAGTGATGGAACGAGCATCGCCGACGGTGTCGGGCCAGTCTATGCACGGCGAGGACACTTCGCCCGGACTGCTGGCGATGCAGAGGCGCTTTTCCAAGGGCGCCGGGCGACTACAACCGCGGATTTCCCCCATTCCAGGGTCTACAGGCAAGTCGCGACACATTTAATACACGGCCGTTTCCTCCACATCACCCATCTTCGCCGCCTCACCTTGTACCCACTCATTAGTATGGGTCGCACGGCAATGTTGTATGGGGCGCGTTAGTACATCGTGTTTTGGGTGCCACGCCGGGTTCGTCGGATGTGATGGCGCTTGTTCAAGGGGTGGAGGTCAGGGTCATTGTCTATACAGGGGCTTTGCAAACTTTTCGCTCATTGCCAACCTCACCCCAGGCCTTGGAACCAGTTGATGGGCCATGTATAGCGGCAAATGGGGGTAGCTTGGGAATTTTGGGCCGCATGCTCATGACAATTCAGATCGGAGAGGTGTGCGTGACAGGATAAATTTTGGTTTCCACTGCCCTGGCTGTACCGTGTTTGTTAGGCAGGGACGTTTTTCTCCATAGAGAAGGGGTGTTTGTCATTGCCATCTGTAAAATGTCTTACATTTTTGGGAACTCCGTCTAAATTCACAGCAGCAAACGCCGTGGTGCAGGCTGTGGTTCGTCGCACGGTGCGCGTTCTGCCTGCAACGCAGATGCTCGTGCCGCTGCGCTTGAAAAAGGGCCTGCCTTTGGAAAACCCGCTGGAGGGAATATTGCTAGCACCTTCGAACGCTGTGTCACGGACACCCTCTTTAGTCGGGGCTTTTACTGTGGTGCCAGCAAACTGCGACCCGTTCATACGGATTGTCAATACGGGGTACGAGCCCATTGTCATTCAAGAGGCGACTACGTTAGTGCATGTGACAGCAGCGCAGAACTCGGACGTGGAGGTGTGCTTGGCAGCGAGCGAGGGGGATGCACTGCCGTGGTGTGACGAAGAACCGGACTGGTTACAGGATTTGTATGAGCAAAACCACGATTTGACACCCCAGCAGCAGTCGCGTCTCCGTAAACTCCTTTTGGAATTCAGGGATGTTTTCAGTTCGGGGAAATATGATGCTGGTCGTACATCCCTGTTGCGGCATCACATAGAGACTAGATATGCACCTCCGATTCGCCTAAATTCCCATCGTATGAGTCCACTGGAGAAAGATTTTATTTGGCAAACTGTGGATGAGATGTTAGAACAAGAAATTGTGATGGGTCCCTGCGATTTTGCGTCGATTATCTCAAACTCAATAGGATTTTGGTAGCAGATGCGTACCCGCTTCCGCGCATTGATGACTCATTGGACACCCTGTCCGGCGCAACATTTTTCTCGACCCTCGACCTTTTGTCGGGCTTTTGGCAATTGCCCCTGGACTAAGAGCCTAAGCCGAAAACTGCCTTCTGAACACCACAGGGATTGTTCCATTTCAACGTGCTCCCGATTGGGCTACACTCCGCACCGGCCACCTTCCAATGGCTAGTGGAACTCATGTTGTCTGGATTGCAGTGGGAGTCGTGTTTGATATATCTTGACGACGTCATTGTTTTCAGTAAAGATTTTGAATGGCATTTGCAGCGATTGCGAGCTGTGTTTGGCCGGGTGCGGGATGCCAATTTGAAATTTAAGCCCCAAAAGTGCCATTTGCTAAGGACGTCTTAAATATTTGGGTCACGTTGTTAGTGCATCAGGAGTCGCCACGTGGCCAGTGCCGAAAACGGTGTCGGAGGTGCGTAGCTTCATGGGTTTTGCATCGTACGACCGCCGATTTGTCAAATATTTTGCCACAATTGCGAGGCCGCTGCATACATTGACCATCAAGGGTAAGAAGTTTGTCTGGGGTGACGAGGAACAGCGTTCATTTGAGACGCTTCGGGATGCTTTAGAAGACGCGCCGCCGCTCGGATATACGGATTTAACCAAGATGTTTATTCTCGACACAGACGCCAGTGACACTGGCATAGGCGCCGTCTTGTCGCAAAATATCGACGGAGTTGAAAGGGTTGTGGCGTACGGCAGCTGCTTGCTGTTCCCGGCAGAGCAAAAATATTGTGTGACGACCAGGGAGCTGTTGGCCATTGTACACTTCGTTCAGCTGTACCGACCGTACTTGTATGGCAGGGATTTCTTGGTTCGCACTGACCACGCGGCGCTGCAATACTCTTTGCGGGTTGATCAGCCCTCGGGACAGATGGCCCGTTGGCTCGAAATCCTGCACGAACACTCCTTTATGGTCCAACACAGGAAGGGGACGCGTCATGTCAACGCTGACGCTTTATCGCGATTGCCTCAGCCGTCAGGCTTGTGCAGGTGTACTGAGGGTTCACTGTGTTGCGGTCCACCGCTGCAGGGCGTTCCGGCTATGGCCGCCGCAGCCGATTCGGGCCCAGCTGGCTCGTTGGACGTGCCTACAGGTGGACGATTTCTCCTTGTCCAGAATGAGGCTTCGGGCCTCCCGCTCTAGAGGGTCGGAGGATCGCCCCTTCCTTCGGCTTGTCGACGAACTCCTCGGGGGAGAAGAAAACCGCGCTGACCTTGTGCAAAGATTTTTATTGGCCGGGTATGCAAAACGACGTTCACCTATTCATTAAGTCTTGCCACGAGTGTGTGCGGCGGAAGGCGCCTGTGCAACCATATCGGGTACTGTTACAATCGATACAAGTTTCCCGTGTTAACGAAATTGTTGCCCTGGATATTTTGGGCCCGTACCCCGTCACCCCGCGGGGTCAAAAATATTTGCTAGTAGGAGTCGAGTACCTCACTCGGTGGCCTATGGCATGGCCACTGGTGAACCAATCTGCGGGGTCGATCGCCGAGGCTTTCCTGCAGTAATAAGCCCTCGATAAAGGTGGCCCAAAGCACCTGCTCACCAATCAGGGCAAAATGTTTTCCTCCCGTCTACTTAAAGAAGTGTGTGACTCACTGAGTAAGAAAATGATTCGGATGTCCCCATACCACCCGCAAACCGAACGGATGGTCGAGCGTCTGCATAGGATGCTAATGTCTATGTTGTGCCAACAGGTTAATTCAGCGCAGAATGATTGGGAACTACACATTCCGGCAGCCCTAGCCGCTTACAGGTTGGCCCCGCATGCCTCAATGGGGTATTCACAATTCTATTTAATGAACGGTCGGGGACCAGAGGCCCCAGCCCTGGTCAGGTTGGGCATGCAAGTATGGGGGAAGTCGTCAGCGGTACCTGCCCCCATGCAGGTGGCATTAGACCATCTGACGGGGGTTAGAGAGGCCTCGTTGGGTAACACCACGAGATGGCAAGCTGCCAATGAACGCCTGCACGGCACACAGTCTCCGCGAGAGCCCTGGCATGTGGGGGATAGGGCTTGGCTGCACTGCCCTATTGTGCCGGTGGGCACATCTCCAAAGTTCCATCGACCCTGGCAGGGTCCCGTTGAGATTGTGGAAACTTGTCGGGACCAGAGCGTACAAATTTGTTGCGGCCGGCGCCTATGGGATGTTCACCCGTCGCGTCTTAAGAAATTTGTGCCTCCATATGATGCGTCATCTCCCATCCCGGAAGGGCCTGTGTTGGATGTGTCCGACGAACCTGTGGTACGGCTGCATGTGAACGCACCTCAGCAGTCTGCCCCCCGTGTGCCTGTAGGACCGCCGCTATTGACTCAGGAGAGGCTTTCTGGCAGGCTTTCTGGCCGTGTGCCGGTTGGATGCGGCCACGCCAGCTGATGACCGCTGTCACGATGGTGGGCATGCATCGAGGGCAGAACGCAGCCCCGTGTTGATGAGGGAGCGTTCCCCACCCTTGTCCCCTGTCTAGCCATGGAACCTGCTCTCGAGGAACGACTTTCCGTTGAAGATTCGACTGAAGCGTTACTATACTGAAATTGTTGTTGGTGGGACTCTTATTTAATTCGGTTGTTGGTTGTTGTAGGTCGCGCGTTAGGTTGCTTGTACTTAGCCGGGATGGCTAATTCTTTATCACGGGGGGGGGGGGGGGGGGGGGTGATGTAGTGGATTAATGCGCACCAAGGGGGGAAATTGTAAACACGTGTGGTTTATGGACAGTGGGGTCGCATCAGGACAAGCAGGTGTTGCTGGGGATAACGGCCGGAGAGAGACGGCTCGTTAGGTGATTATGGGATGCAGGGCAGTGATTGGCCGGTTGTTGTTGTCAGGGACAAGGTGGCGCCAGCAAGTCTGGGGATGGGAGCAGATGGCGGTAGGGGCATGGGGCGTCGGTGGGGACGCCGGTTAATTAATTGGAAATTAATGAGGATGGGGATAAATATGGGAGCATGAGAGTGAGACAGGGAGTTGTGCTGGGAGCTGGACATAGACATTTTGAGCAGAAGAAGAATAGGTTAGCAGTAGAGATGGAGAAGAAATGGATATGGGAGATAGAATAGGTTAGCAGTGGAGACAGAGAAGAAGAAGAGATAGGATAGGGTAGCAGCGGAGCAGGAGAAGAAGAGATGAGAGATAGGATAGGCTAGCAGTGGAACGGGAACAGAGAAGACACAAGAGACGGAGACGAGAGGGAGAGACAGTCGGAGTGAGATGGAGAAGCCGAGAGAAAGCGACAGTTGGAGTGAGACGGAGACGAGAGGGAGAGACAATCGGAGTGAGACGGAGAAATCGAGACAGGCCAAGCAGAGAAGAGAGTCTGAGAGAGAGAGACAGAGAGAGAGAGGGAGGGAACAGAGTGAGTGAGGCCAGTGGAGCGCAGCGAGCGAGCAGAGAACGCGCTGAAGTCTTGGTGGTGGAATGTTCTGAGTTTGTAAAATAAAGTGACGACAGAAAAAGAAGTTGTCCGTGTAAAGTTCAGCACTACAGTACCATGGTAAAATTGTTTTACCATGTGCTCAGAAGTTGGGACCTATGTCCAAAACGTTGCCTCATATCATTTTTTTTCACTTCAAGTCACAACGTTGACGAGACGTGTTAATTTTATGTGCGCATGTGTTATGTGTGCTTGTGCACTGCCATTGGAGTGCCACTAAAGAAACGGTTCATGTGGCTGCAGTTATCCACGGACTTGAGCGGTGGATCAGTGGTTAGTGCCGCTCACTCCGAAGATGGAGACCTGGATATTATTCCCTGCCACGACTACACATCAAGCGGCGTGCGACATCTGAACTGGTCATAAACCACCGCCCACCTTCACTAACACGCACTTAACAAAATGGTCAAGTATTACCAAATAACCCTCATGACCAACGTGGCCTGGGCAAGCCTTAATCCATCAGTGCTGGTGTGGTGAAGGTGTTGGGGGCAGCAGGGTTCACGATCGACAGACATCTCTCGCTACTTGGTGTTAGCTGCTGTCAGAATAATCGAGCTGAGGTAAGCTGGTTTGTAGCACAGTGCCCTAACCGCTGCGCCACCGCTCCCCTTCATGAGGTGATAAACTTGTTATTGATGTTAGGCCTTATGGTGCATCTGCACGTACCTTCCTCCTGCTGATGCAACTGCATCTCCTGCACAGTGTTGTCGGCAGGATCCTGTTCGTAAGCAGGTTCTGGCTCATAAGCAGGTTCTGGCTCGTAAGCTGGATCTGGTGGTTCCAGATCGTAGCTGTCACGCATCTCGTGCACGCTGCCGTGAGGCGCATATAAACCCGCAGCCTCGCTCACCTCCGCAGGAACTGCCGGCTCTTTGTCCTTTATAGCATCCTGTCGGGCATAAACAACAAAGATGATCATGGAAATGGTTACTGGGGTACCAAATCACTTTCGTTATCAAAAAAGTGCAGTTTGTTTGATTACAGTTGATTGGACATCTTCTTTCGTATGGCTGGTCAAGCCAGACAACCACGTCAGGGGCAGCAGAGTGTATCGCGCTGTGATTGGCAATAACAACAGGATAGATAAATGTGTCTTTCCTAAAACACCTTCCCCCCCACCCACCATCCCCTTTCGCAGCCTTGGCGCCAAGGCCCCTGTGGCCCGTGGGGTCCCGGGGCAGTTTCACCGCCTGTGCTCTCGACAGCTCCTACCACTCTTGTCCTTTCCTCCGCACCTCCTGATTAGCACGATTTGCTACGTACGACGAGCGAAAGAATATCAATGTACATACATACATGCGTACTGCTCTGACCTGCTGCTGCCAGGCGGCTCGCTCCCTCTCCTCGCAATCCTTGACCCGGCGTCTCTCCCGTTCCTCCTGCATTCGTCTCTGGTCCTCCTCCTCCTTGGCCTTGACAAGGTTCTCAAACTTGGCACGGATGTTACGGGCACCGGAGCTCGCTTGAACGTGACACGTCAAAGGATGTGCATTTAAGCCCGAACGAAAAGCCAACAAGTTGTATTCCCAAGCTATTTGAGTGGTAGAGGGCAGCACATCAAAACCTAAGGTTGTACTTTGTTTCTCTGCTCCCACATCTATGCTCTCCATTATCACCAAACTTCCCTCACTTTTTGAGAACTGCTTTGTGTTTAAATTTGTCCTACCTCCCCCCGCACATCTGATTAGCACGGTTGGCTATGTACGGCGCAAAAAACGTTCAACATACATGCCAGTGTCATGAGGTATAGTCAGATAATTCCTTTGACCCACACAAAGTGGAAAAGTCCTCATCTAGCAGTAGACTGACAAAGGGACCTGTATGCACCTGTAACAATTCACTCCCCTGCTGATTTGATTAATTCTCATGGTTTGAAGTCATAATTGGGTTCAAGAAAGGGTTATTTTTACCATATCATTTGTATTGCGTGTTGTAAATGTTTTTTCTCTCTTTAATGTAGTTGTGTTTTCTCCACGAGGCTAAACGTAAGATTGTGTCAAAAGTTGCATACAATTAGCATACATTGTAAGAGCTGATTTTTTTGCACACACATTTTTAATACTCATTTACATGAGAATCAAGTTTAATCGATGGTGGAATGGCAGCCAAAGTAGGGATTATGCCCAAATGATGAATCACCTAGGAGATGGGGCTTTCAGTTCAGATCACGTGCAGAAGCAAGATTGATTGTGGCATCGTGGGACCATGAAAGATGGTGATGACTTGGGGAGGTATTCATCCAGTAGTGGATCAATCATGGCTTAAGATGATGGTGATAAATTGATCCGTTACAGGCCTTAAATCTACGGTTGTTGATGAAATAAAACAATTGGAGAATATTTCAGTTCTTGAACCTTGTATTTGGTAAAATAGGGACTGTGTTAAATAAAAGCTGACTAACATGTCGCAGAAGCTCACAGCTGACCCATACAATGGTACACTAAGAGCAGGCGGTGTGCATGTCTTAATGCACAATGCAAGCGCTCATACAAGGAGCAGGGCTCATTTAGATGTGGCATACAAAAGCAGATACAAGACTTGAATCAATAACAATTAAAACGAGAAGAATGCACGCCCAAGCAGCTAATTAACGCGGGAAATAAGATGGGAAGTTAATCAGCAGCGAGCAACACTCAAGCCAAGCGTACGACTTGTGCAGTACAAAGCATACAAAACACCCAAACTACATGATAATACTCTTTCAAAGCCAGTTCAGCGTTTGTTTGCTATGATCCAGCGCTGCTGGATGACAAGCGTAAAAAATACTTATATTTTTTACGTGGAGGTAGAGATCAATGGAGGAGCAAAATGCTCTGCTTATTTAATTTGTTACTCACATTCTCTACAACGATCATATTGATCATAAATTGATAATAACATGTTCAGCGTCGGCAAGTAGCAGGTGCTAACACTCAGTTTGCTCATGGGGGCGAATTATAAACACCACTTAATGGCAAACGCCGACGTGAAAAAGTGGCCACAAATCGGCTCTAAAGAAGACTGCATTGCAACGGTCCGCACACACGTTACCTGCTTCCACGGGTCTGGTCTTCTGGTAGTTGGTGTTTGGTCCCTCCATGTCCTGGAAGGAGGCCACTGACTGAAATGAGAAAGATGCCGCCAGTTGTTCGGCGTAGAACAATTCACTGATTGATGTCGATTCGTCAGCTTAAGTGATGCGCTCACCCAATCGCATGCGCGAAAGAACATTTTACTAAATTCTGCATGCGTTGCATGAAATAGGTTCAAGTAACAGCTGCTGCCACTGGAGGCGGTACCATACACCACTTAATTATTATTATTTTTAACAAATTGCAATACTGGATTGTGACAATTTGCACCTCCGATTAGCACGGTTGGCTACGTGTTGTATGAAATAAGTTAAACTTAAATACTATTCACCTGATTTCTGGGGAGTAAATTGTGCCACCCCTAGCCATTATCGATTGATTAGCTCACAGGGCAAATCTAAATTAAAGATTAAAGTTGCACAAAAGTGTGCTCACTTTTACAGCTTACTTAACCATAGCTCACAGGGCAATTCTAAATAAACTGTTCAACTGTTCAACTGTGTTGTCGATTTGTACCGACATGCAACATGGAATACTTCTGCGGGTGGACATCTACAATGTTTATACTCTTTGGTTCTTTTGGTAAAGTCACGTAGGTAGAAAAAATAATAATAGATCATGACGTTTCGATTGCAACACAAGCAACTGTCCTCAGGTGAAAAAATATACAGCAGGAGAACTGCTGGGGCAGGAAAAATATTACGAGAGAGCTGCTGTTATATAGACTACATGACCTCGCTGAGAAAATTATGTGTTAATGAGAATATTAGTATGTCACAGTGAGACGGCTCACCTGATCGAGTCGCTTACCTTTATGAAGAGATGCCGCGGCACCAAGGTAATACCGATCGCCTTTCCACTCACTTCTGTTGCTGTCACTTCTCCTAACGCTGAACCGTCCTTGTTTAGAGCTAGCCTACCTTTAATTTCAGAGAGAATAAGACTTCTCCGATTTGAACTTGATAATTAAGACAAGACTCTCTTACAATTGTAATGGCATAGTTGAGCGCTATGTGCGATCGCCACTACTCTTCACCTGTAGTAACGGCCCCCTGTCAACAGGGGATGGAAGAGAGGCTGAGTTAGATGAGTCGGGCCGTTGGGCCAAGGTAACCCCCCAGGGAGTACCGTGATCAGAGGTGCAGACCCAAGATCCACAAGAGGGGGCTTGGGGGGATCACATCACACTCCAGGCCCCTCTACAAGGTTCCAGAAGGGAGGCATGGCTAGAGGCGGAGTGAGCTGGGACCGTGTATAAAAGCCGGACCCCTGAACGGGTCCAGCAGTTGTTATACACTCGAAGAATTGAAGAACCACCCTGAAGACGTGGAGCTGGACCCGAAGGCCTTGGCTGGGTCGGGTCAGTATAGCCTCCCAAGGCCCCGATAGCCGGAGGACCCTACAGTGGTTAGTCCCCAGTGTGTTAAGCCACGTCAGTTAGGAGGACATACCTCCTTAGGGTATCGGGTGGAAGGGGCCGTAACCCCTTTGTGTTATGCGTTTACACTGTTCCCATTTATTGTGAAATAAACGTGTTACCTCCAGAGGACATCTCTCTCTCTCTTCCTGAACCCACTACAATTGGTGACAGAAGTGGCCACATAGTTAGTTAGCATGAAAACAAGAAAAAAAGTATGTACCAGGAGCCCAGACGAAGGTGAGACGACTACCCCGAGGTTGACAACCCCGGCAAAAGGCAGTAGGGTGTTGCCGGCCGAGCTGCAGTCCGCCCGACCACCCGGCGGGTCACCGCCATCGGGAAGAACGCTGCGGGCAGCGCACTCCTGCCTCACTCGCCAAACTCCTGCATGCCGTGGCCTCCATCCTCAGTGAGATTCATTGCGGGGAGATGATGGCAGAGGAGGACGGAGCGGGCCTGCAGGCAACGGCCATTCACGCCACCAGCTCTACGTCTCCCCCCAAAGATTTTGAAACTCCCGCGGAAACTGGGGGAGTTTGCGCAAGAAACCACGAGCATTCTGGGACATGTGCAGCTTCCGGTCGCAGCCTGAGCCAATCAGAGAGCACCGCGTCATCAACGGCGCGACCGGCTCAAGGGGCCGCCATCTTGTCCGCTGAAGGCGGCACAGTTCCTGCCAAGTACGAAGAGGAGCAACTGCCCGTGGGACGCGTGCTGTCCATCCACCAACTCCTGCCCGTCCTCATGGAATTCTCCTCGGCGGGAGGTGACTGGGCAGCTTTCCAGTGGCCTTTCCTCTCCCACTGCGAGATGGCGGGGTGGACGGAGGCAGAGGCGCTACGAGCACTCCCGGCCGTCTTGGACAACAATGCCCTTGTCGCCCTCATCACGATCCCACAAGAGGATCGTTCAATGCTGCAGCAGGCGCTGCAACATATGCCTGCAATATACGGACTACTGCCGGACACGCGACTCCGCTTTTTTGTTCGGAGGAAGGGTGAGTACGAGACTCCCCTAGCTTTCCACAGCACGCTGCTTGCCCTTGCCAAAGGTGCCTTCCCTTGCATGGACCACGATGGCATCGACGCTTTCGTGCTGGAAAATATGCTGGCACTGGCTCGGGATCTGTGGGTCGTTATACACGCTGTGGATGTTGGTCACCTCTGCTCCCTGCATGCCACCAAATGCATCCAGGTGCATTTACTCCTCCAGCGGGAGACAGGCCTCGTGGCCTGCACCACACCGGCTGAAACCTGCAACCCTTCGGAGTAGTCACAGCCCAACCAAGCCTTTGTATTGGCTAAGGCAAGGGGTTGAAGAGCTGACGATCGCCCACGTCAATGTGACTTCCGACAGTGGGGACATATGTCTCCGCCGCCAGACACAGCACCCATAACTTCCTACAACTTCAGTCTATGGGGTCACAGTGTCATTGGGCTGCTGGGCGCCTCGACGCCGCATCCCTGGTCCATGGTCTTCGGCTCCTCGGTCACCCTCAGCTCTATGGAGGCCTCAGGCAAGTCACGACACCACACATTTTCGACCCCCACTCTCACCTCGCACACTTCATCACATCCAGTTGCACATTTGTCATGCGTTGGGCGAAAGGGGGCTGGAATGTCTTAAAACCAATTGGGCCCTCCGATCAAGTCAGTGGTCCAACTTGGCCCATAGATTAGTTGCCGCGGCCGCAGGGTCCTCTGTCATTGTTGGATCCATTGAGGGGGTCGCTTTTAGAATGCTGGATGACACAGGGCCATCTGCAACCATAATTTCGGACCTCATTTATAATATTTTCCCAAAAATATTTCGCCACCTGTATCCTAATGTCGTTCCATATTTTTCCGCTAATGGAGGGTCGTTGGGCATAGTTGGTCACTAATGCATGCCAGATTTGTATTGGCGACGTAAAATTGATGGGTCCCATTCTAGAGACCCTGTCCCTCGCCGTTCTGTGCTTACTGGGAAGGGATTTCTCCGGAAAAATCAAAATCATGGTCGACCAAGGTTGCATTGAACTCCCCTCCGGCCGGCGTATGGCATTCCTGCCTTCCACCACTCGTTTGCGCACGGCTTGTGCTACCGTTCAGGCTTTGGCGTCCCGAAAGGTGTGCATTCCGCCGGGTGCGCAGATGTTAGTTCCCCTTCGGCTTCGTAAACCTCTTGATGTGAGCACGATGGCAGGGGGTGTCCTGCTGGGTCCTTCAAACACTGCGGTCTGGGGGTTGGTGCTGGTCGGTTTACAGACTCTCGTTTCTGGTGATAGGGATTCCTTCATCCAGGTCTTGAATGCCGGGTTGCGAACGATCGTCATACCGCAGGCTACTGTGCTCGCTCACACGACGCCAGTGCTCCAGGGGGATTCGGTTGTGGGCCACATTGGAGCTGCACCTCAGTCGCAACCCCACTCCAACCTCAATGAACAATGGATAGATTCACTTTGCTTGTCGACTGTCAACCTGTCTGACTCTCAGAGGGCAAAATTGCACGTGCTATTACGTGAATTTTCCGACGTTTTTAGTAAAAGTAAATTTGACATTGGATGTACTAAATTGCTGAGCCATCATATTGACATGGGGGACACTGCTCCCATCCAGCAGAACCCATTCCGCTTGAGCCTGGCTGAGAAAGAGCATGTTAGGTTGGCCGTTAATGACATGTTAGCCGCGGACATAATTTCTCCATCCACCAGCCCATGGAGGGCCAAGATTGTTCTCGTCAAAAAGCATGATAGTAGCTTAAGATTTTGTGCTCGATTTCCATTGGCTTAATAAAATTTCGGTAGCCGACGCGCATCCACTTTCTCGTATGAATGAGTCGCTAGATGCTTTAGTGGGAGCATGCTATTTTTCGAAGCTGGACCTTTTGTCCTGGTATTGGCAATTGCCCCTCGATGAGGCATCAAAACCCAAGACTGCTTTCTGTACGCTGCAAGGTCATTTTTTTATTTGAATCGGCTGCCCAGGGGTCTCCACTCGGCTCCAGCAAAGTTCCAGTAATTGATGGAACTGGTTCTCGCTGGGCTCCAGTGGGATTCATGCCTGATATATTTACTGTAGATGATGTTATCATCTTCAGCCGTACATTCGAGGAACATCTGGAACGCTTGAGGGCCGTTTTTGGTAAAATGCGAGTGGCAAACCTGAAATTCAAACCACATATATGCCACTTCCTGCGGGAATCTGTGCATTACCATGGGCACATTGTCAGCTAGTCGAGCATTGCCACTGACCCAGAGAAGACAGAATTCATTCTCTCATGGCCGACCCCCACGTTGGTGGGGGAAGTACATTTTATTTGCTTCGCGTCTTATTATCGACGCTCCGAGCGGGTTTTGCATCCATTGCAAAGCCCCTCCATGCACTGACGGCCAAAAAATAAAAATTCCATTGGGGGGAGGTGGAGGAGGCCGCATTTAATTCGCTTTGCGATGCTTTGGTAAATGCCCTACCCCTATGTTGCCCTAATTTAATCCATACAATCAATCCTCACCAACGGACGCCAGCAACACCGGCATTGGCGGGGTGTTGTCTCAGGTCGTCAACGGAGTCAAACGCGTGATTGCATATGGCAGCAGAGTGTTATCTCCAGTGGAGCAACGTTATTTCG